TTTTTTTTTTTTTTTTTTTTCCTTTTTCTTGCTTGTTTGGTTTTTGTCATTTTAAGACAGGGGAAAGAGTTCTATTGTGCAGTTCAGGCTGGCCTTGAACTCACTTTGTAGCCCAGGATGGCCTCAAACTTGGCAGTGATCCTCCTGCCTCAGCCTCCGAGGGCTGTGGATTATAGGCGTGCACCCGTTACTTTTCACTTTGAAACAATGCTTTGATAAATATTTTTGTAACCTTACCTTTGATCACATCTCAGTCTGTCCTGGGCTAAATTAGCAGTAGGATCCCTCTGATCTCAGACTGTCACTCTGTGCATCATGGCAGGGGACACGACTGACCTTGAAGTTGATACAGTGATCCCACTTGGAGGTGAATGTGGCCTGGCACCTCATCTATAACACGTCTAGACCATGGGCACCACGTCTGTAACACATCTAGACTGCAGGCACCATGCTCTGTAACATGTCTAAACCGCATGCAAGCTGTAGAGGCGGACAATGGTCTGAAGCACCAGTACACACTTGAGCAGCCGTCGGATCCAGCGCCTGTCTGCTGGATGGAGAAGCTGTGTGGTGGTCTTTGTGGCCCCTCACTTAGATAAACTTCCCCTCTTTTCTTTCAGGGTACTCTCATAGAGTGGACCAAAGGCTTTAAGGCCACCGACTGTGAAGGGGAGGATGTGGTGGACATGCTCAGGGAAGCCATCAAGAGAAGAAATGTAGGACTTGGTATTGAGGCTCACGTCTGACCTTGGCCCTCTGCCCCGCCATCCTTTCTACGCCTGAGCCTGTATCTCAGGCCTCTGCTTGCCTTGGGCTGCGGGGCCCCTTGCACATTCTGTTTCCAGTAGAGCTGCTTCCTTTGCAGGAGTTTGACCTGGACATAGTTGCAGTTGTGAATGACACAGTGGGGACCATGATGACCTGTGCCTATGAAGATCCTAACTGTGAGATTGGCCTGATTGCGGGTAAGTGGTTGGCAGACCCCACTGGCCTAATCCCATTGGATGCTTGAGAAGGTCCTTTTGAATGTAGTGAGGTGTGCACTCGTTGTTCCATTATACAGAGACCCTGTCCAAGGAAGAAATGAATCAAATTAAGATTGAGATTCTGGTTGCCGAATGCCCAAACTTCTACTTATTTTCTTGCTGCATGAGAGGTTCTAAGGCAAGGTCATCCTTTTTGTTGGAGGAAGGGATATCACAGAAGGAAGGGATTTTCACATTATGTCCTCGGCCCTCCTTCCTTGGAGGGAGGAGATCATGGTTGGGTCACAAAGCCAGCTCTTCTTTCTTGATGTAAGATGCAGGTCCCCTGTTCTTTGCATTCCTCTGGCTCTCAAGGTGCATAGGAAGGGGGAGGGGTTGGAAGAAAATGTAGGAAGGGAGGAGGAGCTGGGCGCCATAGCTTATGCCTGGACTCCCAGCACTCTGAGACATGATAGGAAGATCATGAGCTAGAGCCCAGCCTGGGCACCTTAGGAAGATCCTGTCTCACAATAAAAGATAAAGAAGGGCTGGCATCATATCTCAGTGTGAAGGTCCTGGGTACAATGCCCAGTAGTGGGGAGAAACAAAAGAGGTGGGAGTGGGCTGAGATGATGCAGACATTGTAGGGGACTTCAGAAGATGTGTGGCAGCGATTATGACCAGGGTAGATTCCAGAGTGATGACTCTTCCCAAGAGATAGCGGGACAGATGGGTTTGACCAGATGAAGATGAGGACAAAGGGCACTGCCATTGGCAGGCACAGAGGAAGACAGAGTCTGGGGATGCTGGTTGACTGACTTGCCTGGAAGATGGAGGAAGGAAGTACCATCTATGAAGTTAGCTTCAGGCTTCACCTTACTGAAGCTAAATTCTTACCCCTCCTAGAGCTCAGGCAGGTTGCTCATTGTGTCTGACCAGGTCCCTCATCTGTGTGAGGGTTGGTGAGATATAGGAGGCCACAGAGGACTTCTGCATTGGGAGCAGTTCTGAGGCCAGGTCATGGGCAAGGGAAACATGAGCAGCTCGCAGATGCCATGTGTTTGTTTATCTAAGACCAGAGAATTCTTGCAGATCCCTCCTAGTCCTTCCTGACTGCTTATTCCCTGATTCTTTAGAAGCTTTGAGTGCTTCTCAGTGATAATGATTGTGATAAACAAGATGGCAAGTACTTTATTGGCCACTTAGTGTGTGGTGAAAAGTTTCTGTCACCTCATTTCTTTCCCTACAACAAATTCACATGGCAGGCATTACGTCCTTTATTGCGGTGAAATAAAATTAAACTCAAGGAACACTGAACTACATCCCCAGCCATTTTCATTTTTAGAAGCAGGGTCTCAGTTGCCTAGGCTTATTCTGAACTTGTGACCCTCCCACCTCAGCCTCCCACATAGCCGGGGCTCAGGCAAGTACCACAGCACCCAGCAATATCCCTTTATATGAATGGAAGCCTGACCTCTGACAGATAAGCTTCCTGCCCGAGACCATCCAGCGGTGGGCAGAGAGCTGCAGTCACGCCCAGCTATATGACTGTGAGCCTGAACTCTCTTTTGCTGCACTCTGCTTCCTCTTGTGTCCCGAGGGTGTCTTTGAGGACTCATGGCCCGTCACATCCCTCCCCCAGGGACAGGAAGCAACATGTGCTACATGGAGGAGATGAGGAACATCGAGTTGGTGGACGGAGACGAAGGGAAAATGTGCATCAACACCGAGTGGGGAGGCTTCGGAGATAACGGCTGCATAGACGACATCCGGACGCAGTACGACGTGGAGGTGGATGAGGGTTCCTTGAATCCTGGCAAACAGCGGTGAGTAGGGCAGGTGTGAACATCTCTGCTGGCCATGCAGTGAGCAGCTCCCCCAGGCCCAGGGGAAGGAAGCCATTGTCATGCCACCGACAGGACAGCTGTGCATTTTATCCTCACGAGGAAGGAAGAAAACTATGATGTTTCTGCCAGGGAGAAGGAAGGGGCCCATAAAGGCTGTGGTGGCTCTGGAGGTGAGGCTGTTGGATGTGTTTGCAAGGAGCTGGGTGTCACAGAGCCAAGGCAGAGTGACATTGTAAGCCCTGAGGGAGGGGCTGCTGGGATGGAGGAGTCACCATTCTTCACACAGTGTCACATCTCACCGTGTGGCACAATCTGTTGTGAGCCTCATTCCAATGACAAAGCATACTGAAAATAATGAATGGCTTGAAAAAATGAGACTGTGTTTTACCATGCATTCTGCCAGGGTAGACAGACAGAGCCGGCACGTTTGGCCTTGGCTGAGTAGCTGGACCCACCTCCTGCAGCAGGGCAGGCGAACTTTTTCTGCAGAGAGCCACATAGCATGTTTGAGGTTTGGTGGTTCACAACTAAGAACTTTATCACAACTAAGCTCATGATGTTAATATAAAATAAGGTACTATATGGATTTATTCTGATGGACACTGTGCAAGCTGGGAGGGTAAGCGGGGCCGAAATGTGACAGGTGCTTGGCCATCATTGGGAGAGAGGCCTGAGTGAGGTGACCCTGTGGTGCCCTTTGCCATTGAAGGCAACTGAGCTGTAGGAAGCCTAGCTGAGCCACGAATTGCTCTGAAAAGGAAGGCACTCCCCTCTGATTCCCAAGTGGGAGCACCAAGCACTGGACGCCTCTTGAAGGGCCAACTCCTCCTCAGGTGGTGCATGGTCTGTATCTGCTGGCGCATGCATTGTTGGACTGAGAGCTAAAAGTGGAAGAGTGCTTGATGCTGGCTTGCAGTCATCATTATTCCTCTGTCCTGGTGTTTGCTTCTTAGATTGAAGAGGCCCTGGATGGTTGAGATAGCACAAGTCCGCTTAAGGTGCAGATGCACTCCTGTTTCTGTCTGCCTTGTCAAAGAGCTGGAGTTCACAATTGTGCTCCAAATTTTCTGATCAAGGAGATTATGGAGTCATAGAGGAATGTGATCGATGATGTATAGTGTGCCTGGGGAGAGTCACATGGAGAGAAAAAACATTCTCTCAGGCTTTCACAGACAGCAAATTGGTCAAGCAATGGCTGTGACTCATCCATATGGCTGACACTGACAAAGGATATACAAAGTGTAGTACAGGGCTACAGGATAAATCCTGAGGGTACTTGACTGACCTTATCAGATACAAAAGTTACATTTCTTGTTATATAGGTCTTGCTTTATCTTGGTATTAACCATCCAGCAGAAAAATATAAAAACAAGGTATATAAAGTAAAGCCATACTAATACAATGAGCTGTAAAAGGCCCAAGTCAATAACTTCTGAGGATAACCCACTAATATTATAGACTGCTAGACAGTGTTGGATTGTTTTGCTGAATTCAAACACCTATAGCATTTAGATGCCGATAGAATATCCTCCTCTGACAGGACTAAACAAAAAAAAAAGGATACAAAGGAAAGATCATTTTGTATTTACGTATACAGAATAATTAGGATAGATATACAGCTACTTTCGCTTAATTCAATGAGAAGAAAGAGGTGTTCAAATAGTGTTTGGACAGGATATCCTGTCTGCTTCTTGTACTATGGATAACCACTAAGAAGATAAAAATGTACAATGTATTGATTATTAAAACTGTCCTATTAATCAGCTTTGAAAATGTCTCATTCATATTTGTTTCTCAATAAAATTAAAATTTAAAAAAGGAAAAAGAAAAAAAAAGAGCTGGAGTTCAGCTCTGTGCCCTTGTGAAGGATAACAGCGGGATCCTTGGGCCTTCTGGGTGCCTGCTACCTAGGAGTCCCCTCCCTTCTTGCCATCGGCCCTCATGGAGTTCATGGCCTGGTGGAAAAGGAGAAGGAAGGAATAATTTTTGAGCATGCTGGTGTGTGCGGGCAGCTTAAACATTATTTCAGGGAACCAGAAACAAAGCTAAGGAAAATCTCCAGTAGAACAGATTTGCAATCCAAGGCCAAGGAAACTGGCTCTGGGGCCAGGAGTGAATAGCTTGGCTTGTGCTTAGTTCCTCCTGTGAGCCAGGGGGTGGTCTCTGCAAGCCCCCAGAGGTCCTGTCCTGCTCCACGCTGCGCCGATTGCACACAGGGCTTGCTCGGTCATGCAGCCAGCTGTGGAGCACTGGGGCCTGGCTCCCGCCTGTGCTGGGCCAAAGTCTGGCTTCCTCACATCCAGATGCCTCCCACACAGCATTTCTCTGGGTATTGTAGGGTGAAAAGGCCAACCCTAAACCCTGGCTCTGGATGCCAGTGGCATGGCTTCCATGCGCGACCCAGGGCACTTTCAGAAACCCCTTGCCAGAGCTGACTTTTCCTCCTTCACTGTCAACCTGATTGCTCTTCCCCAGATATGAGAAGATGACCAGTGGCATGTACCTGGGGGAGATTGTGCGGCAGATCCTGATCGACCTGACCAAGCAAGGTCTCCTCTTCCGTGGGCAGATTTCAGAGCGCCTCAGGACCAGGGGCATCTTTGAGACCAAGTTCCTATCCCAGATTGAAAGGTGATTTGTGATTGAGTTTGCCTGCTTGATGTAAAAGACTGTGAATGGAGTGTGCTGCCACCATGCAGGGGCGGGTGGAATTGATGAAGTAAAATCAGAAAGAACCTGAATGGGCAGAGGGTGGACGCCTGCCCTGCACTGTCCATCTAGCTATGTCCTCTCACAGTCCAGAGCCAGCGACACACTGGAGAGGTCAGTAGCCTGCCTGTGTGGCCTTGGAGTACTGAGCAGAAAGGACTAGGCCTTCTGTAGGCCCCACCAGTGCTTCTGTAGGAGTCCTGGGAGTTAGGCTTAGACATTCCCTATTAGGTTTGCTTTGTTTTTTATGTATTTGTTACAGGGCCTCACTCTGCAGCTCAGACTCGCAGTGATCCTCCTGTTTTCAGCTTCCCCAGTGCTGGGGTTACAGGTGTGCGCCATCACACCTGGTCTTGGTGGCCGGCTCCATGCACCTGGTGTGGCCTGTGGTGCTAGGGATTGAACCCCAGTCCCTGCACTTGCCTAAGTAGGCGCTTAGCCTGCTGAGCTGTTTCACTGGCCCTTTGCTTTTAGTTCTCGATATATGCAAAACTTTTTTTTCATGGTTACAATCATATTATATATGTGAACCATGTATTATTTAGTCACTGTTCATGGAGATTTTAATTTAAAATTTTAATTTTACTTTCTTTATTTCTGTTTGTTTGTTTTTGAGACCAGTTTTCACAATTGTAGTCCCAGCTGGCCTCAAACTCATGGTGACCCTCTTGCCTCAGTCTCCTGAGTGCTGGGGTTACAGATGTGTGCCACGAGGCCCGGCTTCTGGTTTTTATCTTACTTTTTTGGGAAAAGTTTTAAACATAGGAAAATAGAGGAGAGGTTAGATGAACTCAATGTCTCTGTCACCATGTTCATCAACAATGATCAACTGATGGCCAAAATGCGTTCATCCAGTGCTCTTCTTGTCACCACTGCTGGGCTAGGTTCACCTGAAACAAATTCCACCTTTTATATCACTTTATATATAAACAGTTCAAAGTGCATTTCAAGTGTATGAGCTCTTTAAAACAGCGCAACCACTACCAGTTATGGTATCATGAGCCTAGAGCATGCTTCTCTGAAATTCAGCGCTGAATCATACCAAGTGTACTTGTCATCCTAGCACTTGGGAAGTTTGGGCAGAAGAATCCTAAATTCAAGGCCAGCCTGGATGAGGTGGCCAGTCTGTCTTTCTGTTTTCTAAAAAAAGCATAACCACAGCACTATTATGCCTGAAATAGCCAAAAATAGACCTTAATATCAAAATATCTTATTACTGTTCCTATTTCCTGAATTGCCAAGAAATACTACTTTGTACAGTTGATTTGCTTCCATCAGTATCTAAACAAGATCGGTGCATTGAATTTAGTCAATGTGTTTCCAAAATCTGTTTTAATCCATAATTCCCCCCCCTCTTCTCATTTTCCCTTGAAACATTTGTTGAAGAAACCTCTTATCCTATGAGTTACTATAGTATAGCTTTTGCTGATTGCAAAATGTGATATTTTCTTCTGTCTTTTACATTTTCTGGAAGAACCTATTCTGAGACCCAGACACTAGGTTTGATTCCATGCTGAATTTCAGACAATTGTGCTTGAAAGCGGCACTGGGTTGTTTGACTACCTGCATCTCTTCTCTGATGTTACCAGTCACTATGTCGGTCCATCATTTCACTAGCAATTGTGAAATGGTAATAATCTGATGTTATCATGCCTACATAAATGGAATACGTAACTGGAATGTCTCTAAAAGGAAGACTTTGCCTTTATCAGCTTTTTGGTGTAATTATCATCCTGATGCCTCCATAACATTATATTATGTCACTATACTATAATTTCCTGAACTTTCCCTTTAGTATAGGAAGTCTAGCTTATAATTTATGAGTTTCTGCTATTTGGAATAGCACTATAATTAATCTTTTTTGTATACATAGTCATTTGTGTATTATGAATTATTTCCTTCCGAGTAGAAACATTTGACTAAAAGCATTTCCCTGTGGATGCTCTATATTTTACAAAGGTGGTTCAAATTTCCACCACCACCACCGCCAGTTGTGTATAAATGCACTGGTTTCGCCAAGTTCCTACAAGCACTGTGTGTTCTCAGGGCCCTGTGTGTTGGGAGTTTCTCTCAGTTTGCCTTCCTTCATTGACTCCTCTTGCTCTTTCTGGTCAGATGGCCCCAAGTCAAAAATCACTTTACAAAGGGGAGAAAAGATCATTTTATAGATGAAAGCAGGACAAGTGCCTGAATTGTCAAGCACAAGGTCCTAAGTTCAAGTCCTAGTACAAAAAAAAGCAGGATGCTTACCATGGACCATCCAATGGTTCTGCAGCACAATTCCTGCTGTCTGGGAGCTGGAGGCAGAACTGTGAAGTTACTGTGCTTTTGAAGTGTTTCTAGCGGGTGTTCTCTTTTTTCTGTCTGATCTTCAACCTACCAGTTCTCAACAAACAGGTTAAGAATCCTCATCCTTCAATCAGTGACCAGAGGGGTCATCCTCTGCTGAGGAACAGCTTCTCCCCTGCGTGCAACAGATTAAACAGATCAACTGATGTTTGCCTTCTTCTTTTTTCTTGTCTCAAAGTGAAGACAGCCACTCCTGGACAAGTGCAAAGCGGCCGCACACGTTTGCCTCCAGAAATACTTGTTTCTGCTGCACATGAGATGTCGCTTTGATCATTATAATTTATGTCCCTCCTCAGGCCTTCCAGGTGCTACATTGACTGGGGTCTATTTCAAGTCTGTTGCCAGCAATTATCCTCAGGGAAGAGCACAGTGTCTGTAGTGTCAGAGACTGAGTTTAAACTTCATTTCTGTCTCTTAACCTGTTTGTGCTGTGTGACTTAAGCAAGTTGCTTTAGCTTTCTGAACCTTAGTTTACTTCTTTATAAAAGAAAGAATTTCTTTTTTCTTTTTCTTTTTCTTTTGACAGAACTGGTGATTGAACTCAGACCCTTGCGCTTGCCAGGGAAGCGCTTATTCTACTGACCCATCTCCCCGGCCCCCAATAAAGAATTTCTTTCTTTCTTTTTTTTTTTTTTTGTGGAACTGGGGATTGAACTCAGATCCTGGCGTTTGCCCGTCAAGTGCTTATCCTACTGAACCATCTCCCCGGCCCAGAATTTCTTTATATTTAACCTCCAATATTTCTCTGGGGTTCGGGAAGAGAATGCACATTTTTCATTTTAGAAAGAAAGAGGGACAAAACGAGAATTATCTGTAATCTACCAATATTTGAACAGTATTCCTACCAATCCGCCCAGTATTCCTTCTTTTCTCTTTTCCTGCATGAGAACAAGCATTACCATAAGCCCAAAACCAAGACTGAACAGCATGTAACATTATGTCATCTATTTTTTTTCATTATGTGCTGGGAATATCTCTCATGACATTAAATATGGCATTCATATGCAAACTCTTGGAAGGTCTGCAGAGGATGATATGGCCTTGGCTATCCCACCACTCACCCACTCTGCTTCCTGTGTTGCCACACAGGGCTTTCTTCATTGTCTTTGTTGGTAACCCCATCTTCCCCCTGTATCACTGAGTTAGTCATGGGTTAACCTCATTCTTAAGCCAGAGCTCCGTGTCAGTGTCATCAGTTGTCACTGGTTCACTGGAAGAGAGTCGAGGTCTAGACTCAAAGCAGCCCAGGCCTGTGACGGGAGCTTCTCTGCGTGTGCTTCTTGCCCTGTTGGCTTCCTTTCATCAAGGTGCCGATATGCACTGCATGCTCATTTATCATTTGCTTGTTGAATATACTCAGCTCTATGCTGGATACTGCTAGGAATATAGTGTTTTCATCAAAGAGCAGAGGTCTAGTTGGGAAGAAAAAGCAGAGAATCAAAAAAGTTAAATAGAAAGAAAGCAAGTCTCCGGGTGAATGGGGGCAGAGTACTTACCCAGAGCCGGCAGATCCATGGGACAGTGCAAGAGTTGGTGTGACAAGGTGTGTGATTAAAGCCAAGTTCTTGCTGTCTGACCAGGCAAACTTCCCTAGCATTCTGAACCTCATACTTGAGGCACCCAATATATGGACTGCTAACTCTGCTGCTAGCTCCCTTTAGTAGTTCATCGAGCACAGCTAACAGAAGAGTTGCTGTACTTGCTTTTAAAAACGGCAGCACTGGGCTGGTGAGATGGCTCAGTGGTCTAAAGCACCTACTTAGAACAAGCTAAGCAAAACAAAGGGACCACGGTTCAATCCCCCAGCACCACATGCCAGACAGCCCCGCCCCCTGGTGGGCTGAGCTGGCCACACACACAAAATGAATGAATGAATAAATAAATAAATAATAAAAAAAAATAAAAATAAAAAAAATAAAATAAATAAAAACGGCAGCACTCACCTTCTGGGTGGTAGGCCTTGAGTCTTCACTTCTTGGGCATTCTGCTCCAATGTAGCTGTTACTTGGGTCACCTTCTGCTCCCCACTGCAGGGGCCTGTTGGGATGAATAGGCTCTGGGTCACACTGAGTGGGTTCCAAGGCTCCAGGGGCCCCCGTGCTAACACTGGCTCTTCTCGCCCCCAGTGACCGGCTGGCCCTCCTCCAGGTCAGGAAGATCCTGCAGCAGCTGGGCCTGGACAGCACATGTGAGGACAGCATCGTGGTGAAGGAGGTGTGCGGAGCCGTGTCCCGGCGGGCTGCCCAGCTCTGCGGTGCTGGCTTGGCTGCTGTCATGGAAAAAAGGAGACAAGACCAGGGGCTTGAGCACCTGAAGATTACCGTGGGTGTGGATGGCACCTTGTACAAGCTGCACCCTCAGTGAGTGCCCAGGGGTATGGGGTAGGGCAGGGGTTGTGCTGGCAGCCGGCTTGCACTGGCACAGCTTCCACAGCTGCAGAATGGGAAGGTTCGTCCCATCCTTTTCTAGGAAGAGAGCGCTGTATGGTGGTGAACTCACTTGTCGGGTCTGAGGCAAGGGTGAACCTCAGCACTCCATCTTCCTGGTAGCCTTGCGGGGGAAGATGAGCCAGCCTCTCTCAGCTCCAGGCTCCTCATTGGTGCAAGGCCAGCAGCAATGACTGTGCCCCTCAGGGTAAAATGTGTGCAGGTTGGAGGAGGAGTGTTTCCCGTAGTCTCCAGAAGTACTTGTTATCATTTTGCAGCCCCCCTCACCCTGCAGGGTAGTACTGAGAGCTGATTGTTTGTGTGCCTTAGAGTATTGGTCAGCTGTGAGTTTGTTATAATAGTAGCTCAGAGTCAGTAGAAGAACTGAGAGCCCTGCTGGGCAATGTGGGTGTGAATCCTGGCCTCGGCTCATGAAGTGAAGAGTCAGAGGGCAAGTTTCTTACCCTCTTTGTACCTCAGTTCTCCTGTAAATGAGGACAAAAAGGTGGTTGTGAGGATGACTTCAATAAAGATAACTATCATTTTAATTCACTGTTTCACAATTTGGTGAAAAGGATATATAATAGCAGGTTTAAGTCATTCCAGTTATGCTGAACAGAATTCTTGAAGATGATATTACTCCTGTGACCCTCAACCTCTCTGGCACTGGCAGTGACTAATGTCTTCTCTTGGTTTTCCTTTAGGGTTATACATTTTCTGTTTGGTTCACATAAGTCTTTCCCTTTAGCCAAGACTTGTCCCAGGGATAGAAGCTGCGTAGTTGTTTAAAATGGTGCCGACAAAGAGCTCTATAAAATCCAACATTTGGTGATGAATGCACTCAACAAATGAGGAACAAGGGAATTTCCTTAACCTGGTAAAAACCATCTAGGAGACCCCACAGCTAGCACTGTACTTATGGTGGAATAGTGTTTCTCTCTTTAAGATTAAGAATAAAGCAAGGATGTCAACTCTCATCACCGCTACTCAATCTTATACTGCTTGTAAGTTTTCTTCCAGATAATCACACAGTTTCTGGTTCTCAGACAAGTCTGGATTCAAATTTGAGGCTTTTAGAAACTAGTCAAAAAATATGTGACCCTTGAGGGGAAAGCCAAGAGCAAATGCAGGCATGGAAGGTAGGCAAGAAAAAAATTAAAGGACATTATCTTGGAAAGGCAAAAGTAAAGTTGGAGATGATGGGCCAGTGAGATATCTCAGCAGAATAAGCCCCTGCTGAGGCAAGTGCAGGGACCGGGTTCCATCCTGACACCAAGGGCTATGCCGGCCCCACCCCTGGGTGTGTTGAGCTGGTCACCGAGACTGGGCATGGTGGCGCACACCTGTTATCCTAGTGTGGGGGAGGCTGCAAACAGGAGGATATATGTATATATTTGGAGACAACATGATTTCACATATAGATTATCCTAAGAAATATACACACACAACAATTAGAGCTAAAAACAAATTCAGCAAGGTGGTTTAGGGTACAAAATCATCATACAAAATCACTTGTATTTCTATATGCTTACAATGGATTGCCCCAAAATGAAAAGAAGAGAACAGTTCCATTTACAATTGTACCAAAAAAAGCAAACTACTTAGGTGTATACTTAACAAAAGAAGTATGAGATTTTTTTAAACTCTGAAAACTATAAAACATTATTGAAGGAAAATGAAGAAATGATAAGTAAGTGGAAAGGCATCCCATGTTCACGGGCAGGAAGGAAATACTGTATTGTTTAGTTAGTAATAGTTCTTAAACTGAACTACAGATTCAACATAGTTTATCAAAATTCCAGCTAATTTCTTTATAGAAATTGTCAAACTATTTCTAAAATTCATATATATTAAATATAAGGGCCCCAGAACAGTCAAAACAAGCTTGAAGAATAATAAGAGATTTTGAAATTGATAAAAAAAATTTGCAGTAATCAAGGCAGTTTGATACTGGCATAAAGACAGATATATAATTGAGAATATATTTGAGCATACAGAAATAAACTCTTGTATATGTGGCCAATTGATGTTTAAAATTGTATTTTGAAAATTTTTTGTCAATTAATTTTTAACAAGATGCTAAGTCTCATTCAGTGGGGAAAACATATTTTCTTTCTTTTTTTTTTTTTTAGAAATTTCTTTTTTTTTAAAAATTTATTTATGTGTGTGTGTGTGTGTGTGTGTGTGTCCAGCTCAGCCCACCAGGGGGCGGGGCTGGCTGGCATGTGGTGCTGGGGGATTGAACCGCGGTCCCTGCGCTTTGCTAAGTTTGTTCTAAATAGGTGTTTTAGACCACTGAGCCATCTCACCAGCCCCGAAAACATGTTTTCTTTTCTTTTTCTTTTTTTTGTGGAACCAGGGATTGAACTCAGGCTCTTGCTCTTGCCAGGCAAATGCTTATTCTATTGAACTATCTCCCCAGCCCAATATTTTCAACAAATAGTACAAAAAATGCATAACCAGAAACAAATAAAAATAGGCAGTTGAACCTCTACCTCACACCATGTATAACAATTAACTCAAATGAGACAGACCTGAATGTAAAAGTCAAAATTATAAAACTCTTAGAGGAAAACATAGGTGTAAACTCTTGTGATTTGGCAAGGCAATTGTTTCTTAAATTTGACATAAAAGAAAAACACAAGCACAAAAGAAGAAAAATAAAGTGTAGTGCATCAAAATTAAAAAACTTTATGCTTCAAAGACTACCTGAGGCTGAGGCAGGAAGATCGCTGCACGTTTGAAGCCTGCCTGTGCTATATAGTGAGACTCTGTCTCAAAAAAACAACAAATAACCACCAACAACAAGAGAATAAACTATTCACCAAAATGAGATTAAACATCTGTAAATGATATAATAAGGGATATATCTGAAATATATAAAGAACTCCTATAGCTTAACAATAAAAAGATGTTACCCAATTAACAAATGGACAGAGGATGTACACAATGATCTCTGTAAAGAAGATAAATAAATGGTGAAAAGGCCCATCAAGCAATACTCAATATTGAAGTCACTACAAATGGAGATCAAAGCTGTATCTCTTCATACTACCCAGAATAATGAGACAGTCAGACAATAACAAGGTTTTTTGTTTGTTTGTTTTTAGACAGGGTCTCACTATGTAGCCCTGGCTGGTCTCAAACTCATAGCTATCCTCCTACCTCAGCTTCTCAAGTGCTGGGATTATAGGTTGGCACCACCATGCCTGGCTCAGTAACAAAGTTTGATGAAGATGTGATAAAACTGGAGCCCTTTCACACTGCTGGTGGGAATGCAAAATGAAGAGAACACTTGGGACACATGTGGAAGTTCCTGAAAAAGATAACCTAGATTTAACACATAACCTAGCAATTCCCTCCCTAGGTGTACAGAGAGCAGCGCAAGCACGGGTCCACACAAGAACATGCTCGGAGAGAGGGTATTCGTAATATTAAAAAAGTGGAAACAATCCAAGCACCTATCAGCTGATAGACAGATGAACAGCACATCCACGCACTGGACTGTTGCTCCAACATAGAAAGAACGCAGCACTGACATATACGCACCATTGATGAACACTGAAAACATCTTGTTAATGGCAGAAGAGAGACACTACAGGATACACACTGCACAATTCCATTATGTGAAATGTCCAGAATAAGCGAACCTATAGGAAGTAAATTTCTATAGATTGCTTTCTGGGAGCTCCCTCCGGTTACTGTGTGTCAGGCATGACAACCAATGAACATGGAATTTCCTTTTAGAGTGATAAAAATATCCTGGGATTAGCTGGTGGGGGTAGTTGTACAACTTTCTGAATGCACTAAAAATCATGAAATTCTACTTTTGTGTATGTGTGTGTGTGGCCACCTCAGCCCACATTGGGGTCAGGGCTGGTGCAGCATGTGGTGCCAGGGATTGAACTGCGGTCCCTGTGCAGTCGCCTAAGCTTGCCTAAGCAGGCGCTTTAGACCTCTGAGCTACCCCGCCCACCTTCTATGTTTATTTTTTAAAAGAAAAGGAAAAGAAAAGCCTAACTTGACTGAGCAGTGACTGCCATGCCATTTTCTCCTCCCTGCCAGGCAGCTTGGGGATAAGCCCCCTCACGAACTTCTCACTCCACTTCACCGGCAGAAGCGCAGGACACTGCAGCTGTTCTCTGCTGGCTGGGAGTTAGGGTTAGATCAGCACCTGCTCCGGCCTGCTGGCCCTCAGAGATGACCACCTATCATTCAAGTTAGCCAGAATTCCCAGCCTAAGTGCCAATGCTGCTGGTAAAAACTTTGCCCCTGAATGTGGCCATTCAAGTGGATTTAAACCTTAAGGGAAGGGAGACTACATGTCACTGTGGTTAAGATGGCAGACTTTGGTGGTGAACTCCTGTAATTCCGATTGCCAAGAGGCTGAGAAAGGAAAAAATCACAATTCTGAGGCCAGCCTGAGCAACTTAGCCAGACTCTGTTTCAAAGGGAAAAATAAAAAGGCCTGCGATTGTAGCTGAGGGGAAGAGTGCTTGTATAGTGTGGCTGAGGCTATGGGTTCAATCCCCAGTACTGGGGTGGGGGTGGATGACATCGCTGGTTTTGGGGAAAATTAGTGGAAAGGGATGGTGATGTGAAATCTGAAACTTCTTAAAATAAAAGCTGGGGACATTTTGAACAAACAAAAGGAGAGTTTTGGGAATTGGCAGACCTGATTCCAATCCTGACTACCTTGCTACTTGTACAGATTTGGACAAGTTCTGAGATTTTTCTTTATGTATTCAAGGGAGTGGTAATTATTTTCAAAGCATGACTTGTACTTTGACATTCCATATAGAAAGCACCCAGAACAGTCCCTGGCAGTAGTAGTTGTAAGGTAAAATTACAATAGCTGTTTAAGAAGTGATTTAACACAGACGTGGTGGCATGTGCTTATAATCCCAGCACTTGGGAGGCTGAGGCAGGAGGATCATGGTGAGTTCAAGACCATCCTGGGCTGCATAGTGAGACCCTATCTCAAAAAAAGACAAAAAAAGAAAAAAAAAAAAGTGATTTGAGGCCTTTAGAAGCAAGCTCAAAGGAAGCAACCGGATGAGAATGACATCAAAGTCTCGATCCTGCTTACAGGGACTGATGTTGTCCCCCTCTCTCTTTCATAGCTTTTCCCGAGTCCTGCAGGAAACGGTGAAAGAATTGGCCCCCCAGTGTGACGCGATGTTCATGCTGTCGGAAGATGGCAGCGGGAAGGGAGCAGCTCTGATCACTGCGGTGGCCAAGAGGATGCAGCAGGCACGGAGGGAGCACTAGGGGTCCCCGAGGTCGGCCTGATGCGCCTCGGATCCCGCCAGGCCCCTCCTCTGGCATAGGAGGGGGCTGGGTCCACATGGGGCCCACTTGGCTGCCTCGGCCTCCAGAGCTGGAAGAAAACCTCGCGTCCTGGGACTCGCTAAGCGTTACTTGTTACTGGTTTGCACTGACTTTAACTTTACAAGACAACTCCACTTGGCATATTGGGGCCAAGGTTAGGCCAACTTGGTGAAATCAGAGGATCTGGCCTGGGAGGTCCCCTTTCAGCAGAATTTCAACTGAGGCCTGAGGGGCTAGGTCTCTGTGGCTTTGGGGTCCTGTGACTGTGGGACTTGGAGGTGTAAATAGACCCTGCCCCTGGGGCCTGGCTGGCTGGTCTCCTCCTTGGGATACTTGAGCCATCTGAAGCAGCAGGTTGGGCCCTTTGCCTGTAGGCAAACACCTGACAAGGAGAGAGGCTCCTGTAATGAGCTAGGGCCCTAATCTAACTTGTCCTTAACTTGTCGTGTTGGCTTCAAGTGTGAGGCAAGAATAAAGCCTTGGAGTGCTCAGCTCTGGGGGCAGAGGGCTGATGGCTGGGAGTCCCGTAGGAATCTTTCTTACTTCTGGGGAACTGCACGAGCACCCTGGGGGATTTTGTTGCTTATTTTGCATGTGTCAGGGCACACTTGATGCATGTGGTTTTTATCTTGGGAGTGATAGGACTTGTGTTGTGCTGTCAGTGTTTTTTTTGGAGGACAGTGGTGAAGCCCGGTAAATGAATAAATGTATGTGATTCCCAAGAAACTTGGCATGAGATGTTGCTCTTTCTTTGGGGAGGCTCACTTGTCTTGTTGTCTTGGTAGCAAAAGGGACTCATTGAGCCTGAAAGGTCTCCTTAGACCAGCAAAAGGGACTCACCGAGCCAGAAAGCCTTTCTCCCTGAAGCTGGTCCTTCCCACACACCCCATAGGCCACCATCCTCCCCTCCAGAGCTGGTGAGGTTGGCCAGCCCCTGACTCCTCCTCCTCTGTTCTTCCCCTTCTCTGAACTACCTGCCACATTCTGCCTTGGGTTGTCTGTGTGAATTTTTTGTGTGGCCTTGTAGTTTGCAAATTCCTTGTCAGGTGCATCATTTTTTATTGCCCAAGTGAACCCAGCACTGTGACGTTTTTGTTAAATGCTTGCAGGAGAGAGGCCTGAAGGAAAAATGAAGCCTTTGGAAAACATTTCCTTGGAAGAATTGGAGACCATTGCCCTAGGAAACAGAATGAGAAGAACAGGACTGCGGATAGGCCAGGCTGATGTTGTGTACTCGGTTACGTCATCGTGCGCTGCCTCAGCCCGAGTCGTTGGCTGCCTCTTCACAAGGGGATGGCCCCAGTGCCATGTGTCACTGCTTGCCTAGGCAGGATATTAGGACGGAGTGGAGGTGGCCAAGCCCAAAGCTGTGCGAGCTGGGCCAGCCTGGGACAGGGCCAGTTAAGGGAGGTGAAGGATATCAGGAAATGTTTCTGTTGTACATTTGATAAGCATGTAGGGTGATACTGAGTGGGTCCTAGATTTACCCAAATTAGCGTTGTTTCTTTAGTTATTGTTGGAATCAAACCTAGAGCCTCACAGGTATTTTTATATCCTGATGGCAACATTTTAAGGTTTTATCTCTATGGAGAAATGTTTTATATGCCGACACTATGCCTTCTGGGAGAGGTGATCCGTCTGCCTTACCTGATTGCATCCTGCTCCAAACAAAGCCTGGATGCCCTGCGTCGCCCTCTCCGAGGCTCCTGCTCTTTCATTCACCACCCTCAGCTCCTGTCCTTCTGCCCTGGAGTTTTGGGCTCTCTCTCTTCCCCATCCTTCCTGGATAGAGGAAGGTTGCAGGCCCACGTGGCCTGGTCTCAAGGAAGATGGAGAAAGTCCCATAGCTTATTTTCTCCTACCCTGGTCTCTCAGAAGCATGAGAAGTCCTATAATTACTTTATCCAAGGTTACCTGAGGTGTCTAGGTAACCTTGCACATTGTGACCAATTGATGGCATCATAGAATCCTTGAACCAGAACCGGGACTCCAGGGGGGGCCGGAAGAAGCAACTCTAGAAATGCCCCTGGCGATGGAGGGCCTGCTTCATCTCCAAGATTACCAGGTAAGACCAGCATGTGGACCCACACACTTTTTCTCTTCGAAGGAGTATCTTTCTACATTGTATAGTCCTGTAATTACTTTATTCAAGTAAAGTTTGGTACAGGAGTTGCGGGTGGATATAGATTTAAGAATTAGGTTTTCCCCATGGCGCTGTCTCTCCAGAATAGCTGATCTCATCCTATTTATCTTTCTTGAGAGCTCTCTCTCTCTCTCTTTTTTTTTTTAAGAGTAGGAAAATTTATTGAGGAAAAGGAGGGACCAGGGAAATGTCTCAGTGGAATAAGTGCTTGCCTGGCAAGCACGAGGGACTGAGTTCAATCCCTGGTTCCGCCAAAAAACAAAACAAAACAAAACAAAAACCACAAAACAAGAACTCAAGCCCGTTGTCCCCATTGTCCTCAGTGCCTAGCTCCATGGCGGGTAGTAGGCAGCATGTGTGCACCTGAGCGAACGAGGGAGCTAGCAGACCAAGCACAGGAGCCCAACCAATTGCTTTCCTTTGAGCCTATCCGTTCTTCTACCTCACCCCATGGGGCCAGCCCAGCACAGAGTAGGTCCTCTATAAACAGTGGTTTCTGGTCTGCCAAGCCCTATTCCAGGCAGTATGAACCCCAAGAAGTAGGACATCATGCTAGGGAGAGGAAGAAGGAAAGGCCAAAACATCTGTAGTACAATGTGGTAAACAGGAGCTGGGAGAAGCCATGCCTGACCATGCTCTGCACCCTGCAGATCAGAAACTCTCCGCCTGTGTGTGTGCATTCATGTGACACCGTTGGCAAACGTGTGAAATGTGATGGTATTTTTCTCAGAATAATATTTTTGTTTTGTGATACCAAGAATTAAACCAATGGGGCTGGTGAGATGGCTCAGTGGTCTAAAGCACCTACTTAGAACAAGCTTAGCAGAGCACAGGGCCCGCGGTTCAATCCCCCAGCACCACATGCCGGCCAGCCCGCCCCCTGGTGGGCTGAGCTGGCCACACACACAGAGAAATAAATAAATAAATAAATAGAATACTTGAAAAAAAATTTAAAAAAAAATCTTTAAAAAAAAAAAAGGGCTGGTGAGATGGCTCAGGGGTCTGGAGCACCTACTTAGAACAAGCTTAGCAAAGCACAGGGACCATGGTTCAATCCCCCAGCACCACATGCCAGCCAGCCCCGCCCCCTGGTGGGCTGAGCTGGCCACACACACACACACACATAAATAAATAAATAAATAAAAAAATAAAAAAAAGAATTAAACCAATGGCCTCACGCATGCTAAACAAGCCCTCTCCCACTGAGCCATACCCCTCAGCCCCTTTTATTTTAAGACAGGGTCTCACTAAGCTGTCAGACTTGCCTCAAACTTTTGTGAGAGAGAGAGAGAGAGAGAGAGAGAGAGAGAGAGAGAGAGAGAGAGAGTTTCACTATGTAGTTCTATCCAGACTGTTCTGGATTCAAACTCAAAGCAATCCTCCTGCTTCAACCTCCTAAGTGCTAGGTTATAGGCATCTGCCACCATGCCCATTCTCTAACGTGTTACCCTCCTGAGTAGCTTTGATTATGTACCATCATTCCTGGCTTAGAAAAATTTCCTTTACTTTTGTCTTTTTTTTGCGGGGAGCAACTCAGCCTGCCCTGAGGGTGTGGCTGTCATGGCATGTGGCGCTGGAGATCGAGCTGAAGTCCCCTGCACCTGCCTAAGCTTGCCTAACCAGGCTCTTTAGACCACTGAGCTGTATTGCCAGCCCCTTTCTTTTGTCTTTTTTAAGATAGGGTTTCACTATATAGTTTGAGCTGGTCTTGAGCTCACTTTGTAGCCCAGGCTGGGCCTCAAACTCGAAATGATCCTCCTGCCTCAGGCTCCCAGGTGCTAGGATTACTGGCGTGTACCACCATGCCTGGCTAGAATAGTATTTTTAATTTTTTTAAGTGTATTTAGTACAGGGTCTACAGGGTCTCACTACATAGATCAGGCTCGTAGCAATCCCCCTGTTTTCAGCCTCCCAAGTGCTGGGATTGCAGGTGTACACCACCACGCTCAGTCTCAATCACTGGCTCATTGTGCCGCAGGGGCAGGGCCGGCATGCATGCTGGGGATCAAACCCCAGTCCCGGAGTCTGCCTAAGCAGGCACTTTAATCTGATGAGCTATCTGGCCGGCCCCTGGAATAGTATTTTTAAACTCAAAATATATAGACTTGTAAAGCAAACCAATGGTATTGAATGATATTTATTAAGAAAGTGGTGACAAGGGGCTGGAGATTAAGCACCTGCCTAGCAAATACAAGTTCCTGAATTTGATCCCCAGTACTGCCAAAAAAAAAAAAAAAAAAAAGGAAGTGGTGACAATAATACATACAATTTTTTTTCAATGTTTTGTTTTGTTGTACAGTGCTGAGGATCAAACCAGCACCTCACACGTGCTAGACAAGGGCTACACCTCCAGCCCAATATGTTTACTTATTAATGCATTATTATATAATAAGATCCAGCAGAATTTAGTAACACTGATGAATGAAGTCCTGCTGAATACAAAAAATATTTTGAATTATTTGCCACAACCACAATGAAATATCTGTGGTTTACGCTGGAGACAGTTATAGGTGCAGCTTGTACTCCTGAGGCTCTTTTTCTTTTTGTCATATGGTGCTTTGTGATGTGGAGTGGCTTTCCTTGATCTCTTGTTAGCACCCTTTGACTTTTCAATCCATTTGACTAATGGTTGGGAATGTATCTGGTTTTTTATTCCGATATTTTCAATCTGTTTTTATTTTTTCTCTCAGGTACTTATATCACTGGGAGGTGTTGGGTGGGGTGGTTTGCATGCTGGGGTGACCACAAGGCCTCATTTGACAGGAGGCCTTCCACTGGAGACCTGAAGGCCCGAGGGAGGCAGCTATGAGGATGTCTGTGGAAAAGCGTCCCAGGCAGAGCCCGGGCTGGGGCTCCCAGGGTGTGTTAAGAATAAGGAGTAGCCAGGAGCACAGTGCAGCCAGCACAGGGCAGAGCAGAGGGTGAGACTGGAGAAGTCACGGCAGCCTCTGCACGCAGGACTTGGAGGTCCTCAGAAGGGCTGTGGAAACTGGACACAGGCCCGTAACCCTAGCACTCTGGAGACTGCAGCAGGAGGTGGCAGCTCCATGCCTTGCTTGGGCAACTAACCAAATTGGCAAGACCCTGTCTCACAATTTTAAAAGATGATAAAATGAAAAGGGCATGAGGGCGTGGAGATGTAACTCAGTGCAAAGGCCCTAGGTTCAACCCCTAGTACTGCAGGAAAAAGAAAGTTTAAATGTTGATAAAGTCTGATCTATTATTTTTTTTCTTTTATCATGTGTGTGTTATACCCTAATTAAACACACACACACACACACACACACACACACACACACACTAAAACCTTTGCATAAATTTCTGTTATTTTCACCTACCTTTACTATGTATTACACATGTCATATTTTTAATTCATATTTCACCTTATTTCATGTACTTATTTCCTCCCTTATTTCATTAAATGGATGTCCTCCCTATTTTGCATTCGTGGTCTGCCTGACCTACTATTTCTGCTTCCCATTGTCCACGTTGAAACTGACAGGTCAGCTAGTGTCCTGGGCC